GCTGGGGGGCTGAGGGGCTGGGGGCTGGGGGGCTGGGGGCTGGGGGCTGGCCCCTGGCATCATCATCCTCTTTCTCTGGCTACTTCTTTCTTCACTCTTCCATCTCTCTTCTTCCTCCTCCTCCCAGATTTTACCCTCTATATTCTCTCTGTCTGCCAGCCCCTCCTGTCCTTTTTCCTGTCTTGCTATTGGCCATTCAGTTCTTCATTAGACCATCAGGTGTTTTACACAGGCACAGTAACACAGCTTCACACAGTTAAACAAAAGTAACACACCTTAAAATAATAATCTACAACAAGTAGCCTTTGTCTTAATTTGATGAGTGCATGATTCTCCAACCCAGGGCTGAGATAGTCAGTTTAATAAGAAACACCTGCAAAGTCGAACATGGTGGGCACATCCCTTAATCCCAATGCTCCAGAGGCTGAGGCAGCAGGAATTTTGCAAGTTTGAGGCAAGTCTGGGTTACATTGTGAGTTGCAGACCAGCCTGAGCTACATAGTATGACATTGTTTCAAAAAGGCCAAACCAAAGGTCTAGAGAGGTGGCTCAGTGCGAAAAGTGCCTGTTGAACAAACTAGGACTTGAGTTCGGATCCCACAGCAACTTTGTAAAAAGGTGGACGCTGCAGTGTGTGTGTCTCACCCCGGAGCTGAGACGGTGGAGACAGGCAGATCCCCGAGCTCACTGGCCAGCCAGTCCAGCCGAATCAATGAGCGAGAGAGCGAGAGAGACTGATTTTTGTCTAAAGAAATAAATAAGAATGGAGAGTGCTAGAGGATTCCTGGCATAGAACTCTGGCCTCTACATGCACATTCAAAGACATCACACATGTGCACACACATGCACAGACACCAATAAACAACACACTAATAAGCCCAGAGTGGTTACACAGGCCTTTAATCCCACACTTGGGAAGCAAAGGCAGGCCAGTCTCTGTGAGCTCCAGGTCAGCCTAGTCTGTGTGGTGAGACTCTGTCTCAAAGTAAATAAATAGCCAAAAAACAATGACAAAAAGGAAACATTGGCAGATATCTGGGTCCAGGGATCCAGGGCCAGGGCTAGTCTGAGTCACTGTTACTCTCGGGGTGTCCACAGGTTTGGGAGCCGTACCTACAGGTTGAGAAGAACCAAAGAACAAGAAGGCACCTTCTAGGACCCCTAGCCCTACTCATTCTGTTGAGACAGCCTAGAGAAGCTGAGAGGCAAGCCTCAGTTGGGGAATTGCCATGATCAAATCACCCTGTGTGCATGGTTTTTGGGAATTGTCTTAATTGTTAATGTAGGAGGGCCAAGACCACTGTGGGCGGCACCATTCCCTGGGTAGGTGTCCTGAGCTATATGAGAAAGGCAGATGAGTACAGCAAGAAGTACCCCTCACGGTTCCTGCTGTCCTTCTCTGGCTGTGAAGTAAGTTCCTTGACCAAAGGTAATGCTGTATGGAATGATAAGCAGGCCTGCCTTCAGGTTCCTGCCCTCAGGTTCCTGCCTTGACTTCAGCAGAGAAGGTGCTACAAGGCACTTGGCTTAAAGCAGTGGCCTCCCATCTGGGCTTCCTGTCAGACTCACTGGAACTTAGGCAATCATAATTTTGTTTACATTGATTTATTTTAGGATTTATTTATGTATTTATGTATATGGTTATTCTGTCTGCACACCAGAAGGCACTGGATTCCATGGGACTACAGTTATGAACGGTTGTGAGCTGCCATGTGGGTGCTGGAATTGAACTCAGGACGTCTTGAAGAACAGCCATCTCTCAGCCTCATTATTTATTTACTTGTGTGTGTGTCTGTGTGTGCACACACACACACCCACGTGCACATGACTGCATTCTCATTCCAGTGCGCATGTGTAGAGGTCAGAGGACAACTTATGGAAGTCAGTTCTTCCATCTCGTGGGTCCCAGAGACTGACCTCAGGTGGTCAGGCACCTTTACCTGCTGAGCCATCTCACCAGCCCTAAATGCAGTCTTCGAGGTAGGTTATTTATGTGCGCCTGCGTTGTCTATCAGAAATGTAAATGTAATGAGGAATCCTGTGGTGTCTCTAACAACCCTGAGCAGAGGGAACTGTGCAGTAACCCCAGCACCCACTCCTGAGGTTCTGGCTGAACGCTGCCCAGTGCTGAGATTAAAGACGTGCACCACCACCACCCAGCTATCCCTGGGTTATAAGGACTCACTTATGCAATCAATGCCTGGGGCTCTGGGCGAGCACAAAGTGTGTCCACCTTAATCACTTCTGTGTCCCTGTTACTGGGGAATAGAAGGTGCTGGAAACCTTCAGAGAAGCTGCATCAAGGCCCTGAAGCTGTGCCTGCAGAGTCCAGAGGCAAAAGCAGTTCTACCCATTGGCTCACTGCCCCCAGGCTTCAAGAACTTTCTTCCAAATCCCTCTTGCCTGTGGAGCAGCAGGTATAGCTGTGTGGTCTGTGGGCCTCTCCTGTGGCCTGCCACATGCCATAGCAGCTAGACTGAGTGACAGCCCCCAGATGTCCTGGCTGACAGGGTAAGCTGATTTCTGTCCAGTTCACTGCACATTAACCCTGACCCATTCAGCTGTTGGCCATCTCAGTCTCATGAGCTATGGACTGCACAGGGCCCCAGGAAAAGGCTATTTACACTTAAAGTGGGGACCTAACAATCAGAGGTAAGTCTGACGGCTCTGATGCATCTTGATGAGTGTGGCTTCATCTTGGAAAATATTAGCTGGGCATGATGTCACAGCCCTCTAATCCCAGAACTGGGAGGCAGAGGCAGGCAGGTCTCTGTAGGCTCAAGGCCAGCATGGTCTACATATAAAGTTCCATGCCAGCCAGAGCTACACAGTGAGACCCTGCCGGAGGAAAAAAAAAAAAAAAAAAAAGAGCCTGTTGCTGCTCCCTACAGGTTCTCAGCCTATGCTGCCTCCTCGGGGATGGGGAGAGGTTTGGGGTGAAAGGGGACTCCTGTATCCCCGACAGTTTCTTTGTCTAAGAGGGAGCTGGTGACAACTGTGCTCAACTTGAGAAAAGCTTGGGCAACTTAGTGAAACTGTGGCTCAAAATAACACAGTTTTAACAGGGGGCTCAGTGGGAGAGTGAGTGCTCTCAGGGCTTGGCTACACGGATAAAGCTCAAGGTTCAGTCCCCATGGGGTGTGTGTGTGTGTGTGTGTGTGTGTGTGTGATCTCACACAGCTTCTGGCTGGTGTGCTTTTCTGTACGTTCTCCATCGTGATGTCTGCTGGACTGTCTCTAGAATGGAAGCACATGTGGAAGTCTGTCTTGTCTACAGCTGTGGCCACACCAGCACTGCCCATCCTTAAAAACAGCTTCTCCACTGCAGACTATTTGTCAACATTCAAGTTATAGTGAAAAGCTGACTTCTTCCTCCTTTTACTTTTTAAGTTTTTGGGGTTTTTTTTTTGTTTTTTGTTATTTTGTATAAGTGTTTGCCTAAATATGTCTGCACACCACATTTGTGCAGTGGCCACAGAGGCCAGAAGAATGTGTTGAATCCCCTGGAACTGGAGTTACAGACAGTTGTGAGCCATCATGTGGGTGCTGGGACTGAATCTGGGTCCTTTGCCTGCTGAGCCATCTCTCCAGCCCACAAACCCTTCTTTTAAAAAAAAAAAAAAAAAATTACTTGCCATCACCAGTTCATCAAAATACCAGGGAAGTCTGACATGAGGGCACATGCCTGTCACTGAATTTCAAAGCCAGCCTGGACAGCAAATAAGACCCTGTCTCCAGAGTAAATAACGGGCTAGGAAACAAAGACATGCAGGTGCATAGTACCTGGGAGTAGTCTTGATATACCTGCCCAGCTCACCATGCTGTTCAGTGGACCTGTTCAGTGTGGCACAATGTCACACAGCCGAAAGTAAAGTCTGACCTAGCTTTGACTCTTGTAATAATCCCGTTCTTATTTAAAAAATATATTTATATATTATCAGTGCTTTCAAAGAGGAGACTCTGGCCCACAGAGGGTTTTGTCTAGATACAGTGCTTTTATCCATTATTTTTTTTTTAATTGCCAGAGAAGCCAACGGTGGTGGCTCATGCCTTTAATCCCAGCACTCGGGAGGCAGAGGCAGGTGGATCTCTGAGTTTGAGGCCAGCCTGGTCTACAGAGTGAGTTCCAGGACAGGAGCAAAGCTACACAGAGAAACCCTGTTTGGAAACAGCTCCCACTTAAAAAAGGTTGCCAGAGATATGGCTACTTCAGTTACTTCCAGGGTCTTTACTTCTCTTAAGAAACAGTAGCTAGCCAGGTGTAGTGGAGCACATCTTTAAGCCCGGCATGCCAGAAACAGAGACAGGTGGATCTCTGAGTTCAAGGCCAACCTGGTCTACAGAGTGAGTCCCAGGACAGCCAAGACTACATAGTGAGATCCTGTCTCAAAAAAACCAAAAAGAAAAAGAAAGAAACAGAAACCTGGGCCAAGAAAGATGGCTTACCACTGGCTACTCTTTCAGGGGAATCAGGTTCAGTTCCCATCACCTCTTTGGCAGTCACATCCCAAATGCATTAACTTTGCTCTACATAATGAAGTACAGTGACGGCCCGCCAGCTCATCAAACTGTTTTGTGGTGCTGGAGATGAAACCCAAGCTCTTCTGCCTGTTACCACTGACTCCACTCTTAGCCCCCTTTTTACTTTTGATTTGAGACAGGTCTCCCTCAGTTGCCCAGGCTGACCTTGGACTCACTCTGTAGCTCAGACAGGCCTTGAACTTGTGCCTCGGCTTCTACAGTAGCCAGGAAGATGGACCTGGACCAACAGGCTTGGCGAACTGTTTACCTTGTAAACAAACATAAAAACACCTACATAAAAATTTGGGAATAGAGTAGATTGAATCAAAACAGAAAGACAAAGGGGTAGGAGCAAAAGGCTGGGACTTGGACTAGAAGATTCCAAAGCAGGAAAACCACAATGCACAGATAAGCAAATGTCTCATGTGTATGGCATTAAGGTGGACATGGAAGCGAAGTACAAGAAAAATGCTAGCAACTTCTGTGGGAAGCTGATGGCCCACAAATCAGTTTCCTTTATTGTGCTGTCAAGACTGCACTGACACTCGTAATAGTTCTAGAATGACCCATTTCCACTCTGCAGTTAAGTCGTTCTAATGGGTATATCCTATCATTTTAAGTAGAAATAAGACTCAAGTAGTCTTTTTCAAACTTTTTTTTTAAAGATTTTTAAAACTGTATGAGTGTTTTGCCTGCATGTATGTCTGTGCACCAAGACCCCGTCTGGTGCTGGAATAGTCGAGGAGACATCTGACCTCGTGGAACTGGAGTTACAGACAGTTGTGAGCCAACACAGGAGCGCTGGGAGTCAAACTAGGAAACACCACCACCACCACCACCGACGGCGGGTAGGGAGGGCAGCCAGTGCTAAGCCACTTCTCTGACCTCTCAAATACCTCCATTTAAAATGGGCTGAATGCAAGTGTACCATCTGTAAATAATCCACTTAGACTAAGGTGCAGTAAAACTGCATCTGAACTCCACGAATAAAATTGATGGTCCAGAGAGTATTTTGATTAGAACAGATGGGAAACATAAATACTGTCTGTCACACTCCACGTCGTATGTTGAAAGTACTGTACAAGTGCCCAAAACAAAAGCGGCTCTCAGAAACAATTTTATCCTGTTTTCTCAAAAAGCTCCTTGCAAAAGAGAGTCCATTTGTTCTGAGACTGTGGACCCAGGCTCTTCCCCACATTACTGGAAAGGTGCTAATAAATGGATCCTCGAGGTTACCACAACCATCCACGCATATCCCATGCTGTCCCCTCAGTACTGTGGAAATGCCCCATCAATTTTGGTGGCCCAGGCCATGAGTCCCCCTACAATATCCTGAACGGTTACAGAGTCCAGCTCTGGCACTGCCTTTAAGGACTGCAGGACCCTCACGGCTTTTTGGGAGTCGTTCCCCAGTTTGCAAATCACATACACGGAGACAGCAGCTCCTTCCTGCGAATCCCGCTTCCCATCCCGGAGGGCATCCCCTAAAAGCTTCAGGCTGTTGGCATCCCTGCGTTCCAACTGGTTCAAAGGGATGTGGAGGGCGTGCGGCAGACGACAGATGTCGACCTCCACTTGAGGCCGGACGTCCAGCAAGATGTGGGGCGCTCCGGAATCCAGAAGCCGCTTGTAATCGGTCACAGAAATCCGCTCCTCGGGGCTCAGGAGTTTCAAGGCACGGCACTTGTCGGTGGCCGAGGAGCCACAGAAGGCCTCGTAGTCCTGCAGGCGGGTCACGGTGGGCTGCTGACCGCATACGACACAGTCGGGCCGGCGGCGCCGCAGCCGGATCCTGCGGAAATGGCCCCCGAGGCCGTCGAAGAGCAGCATGCTGCCGCTGTAGGACGTCCCGAGCCCCGCGGCGATCTTGAGCACCTCCAGCGCCTGCACGCAGCCCAGCACGCCGGGCACCACTCCGAGCACGCCGCCGTCGGAGCAGTTGGTCACCGTCTCCGCCGGGGGAGGCCGCGGGAACACGCAGCGGTAGCAGGGCCCGCCGTCGTAGTGGTAGACGGTCATCTGGCCCTCGAAGCGCAGCGCACTGGCCGACACCAGCGGCCGGCCTGCCAGCACGCACGCGTCGTTCACCAGGTAGCGCGTGGGCACGTTGTCGGAGCAGTCGGCCACCACGTCGTAGCCGCGGACCAGGTCGAGCGCCCAAGCCTCGCTGAGCGCGCGCGCGTACGGCACATACTCCACCGCCGAGTTGAGGCGGCGCAGCGCGGCGGCCGCCGACCAAGCCTTGGCATGGCCCGCCAGCACCTCGTCGTGCAACACCTGCCGGGCTAGATTGCTCGTCTCCACCACGTCGTGGTCCACCAGGCCCAGACGGCCCACGCCGGCCGCCGCCAGGTACTGAGCCAGCGGGCAGCCCAGCCCGCCGCAGCCCACCACCAGCACCGAAGCGCCCGCCAGTCGCAGCTGACCGCGCACGCCCAGCTCCGGCAGCAGCAGCTGACGGCTGTAGCGGAGGATCTCATCCCGCGACAGGGCGGCCTTGGGGAGCAGCGGCGACAACGGGACCGGACGCTCGGGCTCCGACTCAGACGCCAGGGCTGCAGTCAACCTCCGCTTCAGCGAAGCCAGCTCTTCCTCACGCCGAGCAATTTCATCCAGTAAGGCCGCTACGTCCTCCTGGGCAGCCATGACAGCCTCTTCCGGAAATATCCGGGAAGTGACTTCCGTTTCCGGTTGCCCATCTCTTAGCGACTGGACGACTAAGGCGCTCCCTAGAGTTTGAGGAAATGAAACGAACGGGTGTTTCCTGATGAAAACTTCACAGTCGACTTGGAACAGTCACAGAATCTGAGTACGTCCAGGGAACCACACGGAGGCCAAGACTCCCTCGGCTTCCGGAATTTGGTACGACCCACGCGGGTGACGTAATTCCGCTTCCGGTGCCTCGCGCGGACCCGTCATGGCCTCCACGGGGGCGAGTCGCAGCGGTGCTGCGTCTCAGCGACCGCCGCAGGGCCGCTCCTCGCGACAGGACAAGTATTCGGTCCTTTTGCCCACCTACAACGAGCGCGAGAACCTGCCGCTCATCGTGTGGCTGCTGGTGAAGAGCTTCTCCGAGAGGTAGAAGCAGCGTCTCGCGCGGGCGCCGCGGAGCCAGCCGCGGGCTGCGGGTCGGCGGTTGGCCGCGCGAGGAGACCCATCTGGCCTCCGCTCCAGCCCGAGCCTGCTCGAGGCTTTTCCCAGCGAGGAGAGCCATGGCGGTCAGCCCCGCGTCTGTCTCGCTTGCCCTCATTCCTGCTCAGGACTCTGGCGAGATCTGTTTATCTTATGACAGCTCGCTCTGGCCTCCGCCCCCTCCCCCGCCTTTCTCTCGAAAGGGCTAACTCCACTTTTACTTGGGGCGAGGCTGAAAGCCTGACCTCATCCCCCTCCAGGCGGTCACCATCTGCCGCCGGAGCCGGGAGCCCCGAGCCAGCGCGCTCACCACCACGGCAGGGCCGAGTGCTTACGTAAGCTTGATGTTTGCGCTGTCAGGGAACCTCTGATGAGCAGTCGGAGGAGAGAGCACCTTCGCCGAGCATTGTTTGGCACCGTGATTAGAAACTGGGTCTTGTTTGTTTGTTGTGTTCATAAACACGGGGCCTTGCTCACTGCTAGGCAGAGTTGTACTGAGCCCCATTCCTAGCCCTTAGAGGAACGGGGATTCTGACATTGGACGTGTTAGGCAGGTTTTTTTAAAAGGTCTCCTAAGTGAACTAAATAAAATGCCTCCTGAGAGCAGTACGGAGTCAGTTGTTCTACGGCCAGACAAGTGTCATCATGCTGTGGTAATCTTGGGCGATCTTTTACTATCAACGTACACAAACATGCTTTTGCCAGTTGGGTAGGATGCCATGGTAGAGCGCTGTTTATTTAGACCAGTTCTGTCAAAGAACAGATTGTTTCCAGAGCTTTGTTTGTTCATTGGTTTTTGTTTTGCTTTTCAAATGAAAACGAGGACGCTGTGCCCATGTTTCTAGCAGTCAGAAAAAGTACTTGATGCCAAGCTTGGTGGTGTGCTGCAAGGGATGCAGAGGCAGACGGATTGTAGCAAGTTCAATTTCAGCCAGGGCTACATTAACAGCCCCTGTCTCAAAAAAAGAAACAAAATACTTGATACATAGTTTCTCTTTATAGAAAGCACAACCTCACCATACTGGTCCGTTGAAAGCCATAGACTGCCTTGTTTGATTGAGCCCTGACTGCCCTGGAACTCAGATCTGCCTGCTTCTGCCTCCCAGAATGCTGGGACTAAAGGTGTGAGCCACCACTCAGGGCCAGGATTGCCCGACTTGTTGTTCTTGTTTGTCTATTTGGAGTTGCTGCTGTTGTTTGGTTGTTTTGTTGTTGTTGTTTTTTGTTTTTTGGCTTTTTTTTTTCTTCTTTTTTTTTTTTTTTTTTTTTTTTTTTTTTGCTTTTGGTTTTGGTTTTGGTTTTTAGAGACAGTTTCTCTTTGTAGCCATGGCTGCCCTGGAACTCACTCTGTGGACCAGGCTGGCCTCAAACTTGGAGATCCACCTGCCTCTGCCTCCCAAGTGCTGGGATTAAAAGGCCGGCCACCGCCACTGGCCAGGCTTAGGATTGCTGTTTTGATTATATCTCTGAATAAAAATCACTTTGTATATAGTAGCCCCTCCATGTGCAATGCATATCTTTTTCGTTAGGTTTTATCTTTTAAATTGGTTCTGCCATCAGTATACTAAGCCAGAGTACATGAAAATGTTATGGTTAAGTTCTCTAATTTGGGAAAAGCTGGCAGAACCAATTTAAAAGATAAAACCTAACGAAAAAGATTAGAGAACTTAACCATAACATTTTCATGTACTCTGGCTTAGTATACTGATTTTATGGTATTTTTTGTTCTGTTTAATTTATGAGTCCAACACCCGGTACCTCCCCACTCCGCTTCCTGCTCCCTTTCATTACATTGTAATCAAGGCTGTGCTGGAATTCCCCAGCCTCAGCCTCTAAAGTTCTGAGATATCCTTTTTTGTGGTTTGGGGGCCAATTGTGCTGGGGGATGGAACTCTGCCAGTGAGCTGCATCCTGCAGTGAATATTCTGGAATCAAAATGAGGTTTACTAGGAGTAGCTGCATCTCAGATGTAGTTCTGTTGAATTGTTTAGACTACCTGACCCTCTGGTGATCTGGCTTATTTGAAACCAGAAAGGGAGGAATTTTGCTTAAGAATGACTTCACTTTGTGACATACATTTTTCAAAATCAAAAACAGTGGGGAGCTGGTCAGTGTCCCTACTCTTTTGTGTATGTTGTGGGGGTAGAGTGTGTACACACAGGCTAGTTGAGGACATCTGTCTTCCTCTTTAACTCGCCACTTTGAATTTTTTGAAACAGGGTCTCTCTCAGTGGGGAGCTTCTGTTATTTGGGGGTTTCAAACTCCCACCCCCCAGTGCTGGAGTTACAGGAATGCCTTGTCATCCCCATTCTTTTGGCTGCTGGGGATCCAAATTCAGGTCCTATTGCTTGCATGCCAAGTGCTGTTACCCACTAAGCCATCTCCCCAGTCTCCCTTGTACCTATTCTTGACATGTAGGCTGGGTTTTGTTTCTTTCCTACCAAGTTTGCCAAGGCTAACTTTCACAACCTTTAACAGTCTATTGTTTTCTGGTTGATTTCCTAGGTGCCTAATTAGGGTCAAGAGGAAGATGCTGCTTCCTTTCCATTCCCCTTTATGTCTTATACAAGGGGATGGGGCATGATGATTATGTGTGCAGCAGGTGGGATTTATCCACCAGACAACTGATGTTGAATGGTTTTTAGAGTAGAAACTATTGTGTGAATATAATAGAAAGTAATTTTAAGAGTGAAATAGCTGGTCAGTGGGGGCGTATACCCAGCACTCTGGAGGCAGAGGCAGGCAGATCTTTTGAGTTCGAGGCCAGCCTGGTCTAGGACAGCCAGGGCTACACACAGAAACCCTGTCTTCAAAAACCTAAATAAATAAATGTGAAATTAAGTCAGATAAATTCCAGATTATTTAAATTTGCTAGTGCCATTTAAAGTATTATTTTGCTTTGGATTTTGAAATAGGATCTCTGGTATTGCAGGCTGTCTGTGAAAGTCACTATAGCTGAGAATGGCCTTGAATATCCTCCTGGCTTTTAACTTAAGTTACTTAAAAATTTGAGAGATTGTCACCTAACATTAATATAAATTTAAATTTTATTTTAGTGCAATCAACTATGAAATTATAATCATAGATGATGGAAGCCCAGATGGGACAAGAGAAGTTGCTGAACAACTGGAAAAGATCTATGGGCCAGACAGAATTGTAAGTCACAGACCCCCTCCTTTCTCTATGGGGGAAGGGTGGTAAGGAACCAAGTCTGGAAAGACAAAAAGCAGCAGACCTTTTTGGCATCAAAACTATGTATCTTGCCGGGCGGTGGTGGCGCACGCCTTTAATCCCAGCACTCGGGAGGCAGAGGCAGGTGGATCTTTGTGAGTTCGAGGCCAGCCTGGTCTACAGAGCGAGATCCAGGAAAAGGCGCAAAGCTACACAGAGAAACCCTGTCTCGAAAAACCAAAAAAAAAAAAAAAAAAACTATGTATCTGATATGTGGGCCAGTGGTAATTTTACAACAAAAGAGTGGACCTCTGATTTATGATGGATTCTGCAGATAAAATGTGACACTGGGTGGATATGTTATAGCGCTGATCAGGAAGGAGTTCTTGGTTTCTGTCTTGTTCTCTCCCTTCTCTGGGCCTGCAGGTACTTTGTACACGGTGCTACCTGAGCTCTGAGCTTGTAGGGAGGAAAGACTGTTAGTGGAGACACAGGAGTGACTTCAGGGCTTGAGGCAGTTACATTTTTTCCCAAAGAGTAGGGGGAGTTGGGGAGATACTTCCTGAATCCCCAAATCCCCAACCTGACATTCTCACTGTACCATGAAGCCTGACCCCCTGTGGGAGTGACTTGGGCAGGTACAGAGGCGATTTTATAGTGGCTTCATGAATTTGATACTATTTTTAAAGCAGAGTCAGAGCTTATTAGAAGATATTCTTGATATAATCATTAGAAGATGTTCTTAGTGTAATTTGTAGAAGATATTCTTAGTATAGAAGAGCTCTTGCTTTTCTGTCAGAACCTGCCTGATCTTAGTACCCACATCAGGTAGTTCACAGGTGTCTGTAACCCCAGCACACTAACACACATGTGTAGCTGGAGTTTTCTCCAGTCCTGCCTGGCCCACGGTCAGGACAAATCTCTCTCACCCGCCAGTCCCGCAGCACTCAGATCCAACCAAATAAACACACAGAGACTTATATTGCTTGCAAACTGTATGGCCGTGGCAGGCTTCTTGTTATCTAGTTTTTTTTTTTTTATCTTAAATTGATCCATTTCTGTTAGTCTATAAGTTGCCACGTGGTTCGTGGCTTATCAGTACCTTACATCTTCTCATGGCGGCAGCTGGCAGCATCTCTCTGCCTCAGCCTTCCACTTCCCAGAATTCTTTTCTCTGCTTGTCCCGCCTATACTTCCTGCCTGGCTACTGGCCAATCAGCATTTTATTTATACAGAGCGATATCCACAACACACATGTAAAGAAAGGTACAGCGTAGCTGTGGCTTCACCAACAGTTGCTGTGAGTTGTATTTTTTTTATTACTAGTTGAGTTTTAAATCTTTCAAGATATTTGTGAATCCTGCTTTGGATAGCTTGGACCAAAAGTGCACAGTTGAGTATAGACTTAACTATAGAACATGTTCTGGTGTCAGCTTGCATTTCTCATTTGTGTTTGCAGCTCACTGCACTCCAGGGGTTCTTGGTGTGCACACATTGCTGGATGATTTACTGTGGGGACCTGTCCTGTTCATTGTAGATGTTTAGTGGCATCTCTGGC